AACGGGATGGGGAAAGGGGGGATTGGTCGGCGAATAAGGGCCTGCATGTTGTGGCGCGGTGAGCGTGATCAAGGTGGCGTGAGGAGGCAACGTGAGGAGGCGAGGTGACGATGCCGCGTGCGGATTTGCGGCGAGGCGGCGACGCCGTGCGTGACGGGCGTTGAGGCGAAGCTACGACGCGATGTCCGGCGAGGCAGCGGGTTCTTACTCGAGGGAGGCAATTTGCGGCGAGTGGATCATGCAAAGAGGGATCTCCTAGGCTGCGTGGGGGAGGCAAGGAAACCACTACGGAAAGCGCGGCGAAGCGGCGAGGAGAGGCGAAGTGAGGGGCAGCGGAGGAAGGCGTGACAAGATTCCACATTATGCGGGCTCGTCGGTTCGCGCGCGTGATCGCAACCCTACGCGTGGCCAGGCCGACTGCCACACTAATCGTACGATTGACGCGATGGCAACGCCCGCGACTACTAAACGACTAGATGTGTATTCGTCGACTCTGGCGCCGGCGAGCCAAAGGGATCTGCTACGGTCGCGTCGCACTTCAATGCTATAGGCAGGTTTTTTTTTTAGTAGTGCAGGCTGAGAACGCTACGAGAGTGTGCTGGTGCGGGGGGAATTGAATCAGTATACTTTTGGCATCTATAAAGTTTTGGCACTCGACTGGGCTGACTTGGTGGGGAGGGAACCCCTTGTCTCTCGAGAGAGAAGTTGGGTGGCACGTAATTCGGTAACCACCATTACTTTTATAAACTTTTGGCACAGGCCCTGCCAAATGTATACCGCCGCTTTAATGTATTGCGTTGTATATTCTGTACATTCCAATGTATATAAGCATGTACGGTATTTATTTGGTTTGCAACGAACAGTTGGAATGCATGTGTTGGAACGATGATTAACGACAGTAAACCTAGCGTGAAGGTTTGATGGGCTGATAGGTTTCATCTGGTTTGTTGTTTGAGTTTCTCAGCGTAATGCACTGAATACAAATATGAACTTCAGAAGGTCAAATAGCAGCATTTGCCTACGCCACCGTGCACCTCTTCTGACAAACAAGAACGCACACCTTGTACTCGCTGAGAGATTGTTGGAAGCCCCCGAACAGCACAGGGGAGGCTGCCAAATGAGGAATTTGTGACACGTGAAGCCTTGCCGAAGTGGCAGAGTCTACCTATCGCTAGCCACTATGCCACGTCTAGATATCCCCGATGATCACAGCCCGGATTGATCCATCCCAATTTCCAGGCCGAGATCCCTCATGCACTTTTTCTTGAGCACCCTGTGGTTTTGGATATTGAGAATAGCCCGAATTCGCCTGAAACAATTGTGCTTTCTGTGTTTTGCCTTTGTTTCGCCATCTTACTCTCATAAAAATTATTCGGAAAAAAGCGACTCTTTGGAAACTGTGAAGGTTCAGCTCTCTTGACATTGACACGCAAAGATTCCTGCCAGCTTGGCAAGCTCAATGGTGTAGGGGAAAAGCAACCAACACTACAATACCCACCAAGGACACTCCAGCTTGGTGTGCTGCCATTTTCGGGCAGCTGTTCCAACTCTCAAGGTTCATCCGCGCCTCTGTCGAACCGCCTCGAAGCTGACGCGCCTGCTGCCGAAGCAGAATGCGAGGTGCGAAAGGTTGCGCGACGGGCAGCCCGGCGCGCACAGCAAAAGTCCCGCTCCCCCAGTTCCCTTTCTTCACCTGGAGGGAACTCGAGGTTCGGTTCAGTCGGCTTCCCTCTCTGGCATTCTTCTGCAGCAATCAGCTCAGGAGCAAAACGTCGTCTGTGGACTGGAGTTCTCAGGAGCAAACCTCAGATTCCTTCGCTCACGCGCACCACCCCTCAGTTGTGCATTATACTTGGCAACTTCAGAACGTACCTCATCTTCAACAAATCAATTTTGTGACTACAAGAGCACGTCTCTAGTGTGAGGTGGTGACTCCAGTGATTCCATTCGCCAGCGCATATTGTAGTGTTTCGTTCCCGCTTTCGAGGAGCGAGAAATATTCAGTATGGCAGGACTTTTGGTTAGCCGTGTCGCTCTCAGTTCCTCGAGCACCGTGAGCTTCGCCTCTCTGCAAACGAGGCGAACTCCCGCGAGAGCCGCATATGCGTAAGCCCTGTATCCGATAGCCGGTCATGAATCTCTTAAATGTTCCGTGAGAGCTGTCATTGACCGAGACATTGGTGGCTTGTGCAGTAATCCGCACGGCGGACGGACTCCTGCTGCACCATCCCCACTCACTCAATACTCAGCAAGGTATGTCGAGAGTTCTGATCCCGCTGCCGTTTCTAATTCGATTTGCGACCTCTGACGGTGCCATGGTGTCGCCTTGTACCAGGATTGAGCAATTGCATTCGACGGCAACGAAGGCAGTTGAAAGCGCGGCCTCTACCGCTATTAACTCAGCTCCCACGTCTGGTGTCGCGTCATCTCACCCTCGTTGAGTCCCTTTCGGGAAAGAATAAATGATTGGTATGGAGAGCCGGCCTCTAGTAGAATTCGAACTTCACCTGTTATTCTCCCAGATAACCGTTTAAGCCGGATTTCCTGACCCAAATACGTCTTGCTTCCGCAGGTGGGCTGATCATCTTGTAAGCAAGGCCAATTTCGTGGAAGCTGCTGCTCCATCCCTTTCCTCGGATGACGAAGAGGAGTTTCTCATTTTAAAGCCGCCTGTTGAGGTGGATTCTAAATTCCAGCTTCCCCAGAAGGGCCCAGAGGTTAATTATTGACGCGAGCCAGTCACAACTGCCACGTATGTGTAAACATCGGCTGCGTTTGTAAATAGAACCAAATTATGGGATGGAGTTGGTGCACCTTGCCTGCTGTAAGGTGCAGATACGGTGATTTGCTGATTGTGTTCATTACGAGTCCAGCTGTGTGTCTCACCGCGATATGAGTTGGAAGTGCAATTGCAGTACCCAAGGGTGACGGGAGTCATTTGCCCTACGATAGGGGAGGGAACATGGACGTGACCCCCACACGCTAAGAGCCCCAAAATCTCTCTGTACAGACCTCTCTTGCGTGGGGATAGTGCAAGAAATTTGCGTGAAACCCCATTTTGTGAGCCATTGTTGAGTTGAGACGAAAGAACAGATTGTTTAACTGGAAAAAATCTGCCAGACAGATAATATCCTTATCGGTAGGTGTATTTTAACATGGTTCACTCGAATATGCAACAACATTGGGGTCGTTCGATGCTTTTTTCTACGCCCTAGGGATCCATGCGCTTCCTTAGCATGTGTGGGCAGGCACGACTGTCATCGCAAGCGCCGAACTTTTCTGTGCGTGCAAACCAAGCTTAAGTTGCTCTGGTGGGTGTATTTGAACATGGGCCATCCAAATATGCAACAACGTTGGAGTCGTTCGATGTTTTTGCCTACGCCTATTAGGATCCATGCGCTTCCTTAGCATTTCTGGGCAGGCACGGCCGTCATCACGGGCGCCGAACTTTTCTGTGCGCGCGAACCAAGCTGAACTTGCTATGGTAAGTATATTGAGCATGGGCCATCTAAATATGGGCCATCTAAATAATCGGAGGCGCCGAATGTTGCATATTTAGATGGCCCATGCTCAAATATACTTACCATAGCAAGTTCAGCTTGGTTCGCGCGCACAGAAAAGTTTGGCGCCCGTGATGACGGCCGTGCCTGCCCAGATACAAATGCTAAGGAAGCGCATGGATCCTTATAGGCGTAGGCAAAAACATCGAACGACTCCAACGTTGTTGCATATTTGGATGGCCCATGTTCAAATACACCCACCAGAGCAACTTAAGCTTGGTTTGCACGCACAGAAAAGTTCGGCGCTTGCGATGACAGTCGTGCCTGCCGACAAATGCTAAGGAAGCGCATGGATCCCTAGGGCGTAGAAAAAAGCATCGAACGACCCCAATGTTGTTGCATATTCGAGTGAACCATGTTAAAATACACCTACCATCGGAAGCTCAAGCTTGAGCTTGGTTCTCGTGCACAGAAACGCTCAGCGTTAGCGATGACGGCTGTGCCTGCTCAGAATTGCTAAGGAAGCGCATGGATCCTTATCGGCATAGGGAAATGCATCGAACGTAACGAATGTTGTTGCATATTGGAATGATTCATATTACACCTACCACAGCAACTTCAGCTTGGTTCGCGCGCACAGAAAATTTCGCCGCCCGCGATGACGGCCGTGCCTGCCGGCAAGCGCTAAGGAAGCACATAGATCCCTATATGCGTAGTGAAAAGCATCTGATGACTGAATGTTGTTGTATATCCAGGTGGCCCATGTTTGAATACACCTAATAGTGCAACTTAAGCTTGGCTCGCGCACACAGAAATATCAGAATGACTAGGCAAGAATGAATGAACTAGCAGAAGTTTGGGTACAAATATGAAACCCTAGTTAGGGTTGTACCCCATATTGGCTACCCCACTACAGCCTACCAACATATAACACATTACAATTTAACACACCCCCATAGGCAAAGTGGGGGAGAACAAAGGGTCACAAGACCAGTCCAGCAAAGCAACGCAAGCCCAGGGTGGATCACAACGTCACCACACTCCGAGCACAAGCAAAGGCCACAAGGCCAGTTCACATGCAGTGCTAGATATAGTACAAGGCAAGCAACACAGTGATCAAAACCTAGCAAGCAAGCAACAAGATATATATAAAGTACAGTACAAAGAATGTCAAGCAGTGAGCAAGTGAGGAAACGTGGACACAAGGCCTAAAGAAGTACAGTGCCGCTGATGATCACTAGGCGGGAGCGCCTTGGTGAAGATATCAGCAGTGTTGGCCTTCGAGTCCACGTACACAAGCCGAAGCTGACCGCGCTTGAAGCTCTCGAGCAAGGAAGTAGCGAAGAGCAATGTGCTTCGTCCCGTGCTCCAGTCTGTGCTCCTGACACAAGGCAAGGGCCGCCTTGTTGTCGCCGTACAGAACTGGAGGAGAACTAGGCCGCTCTCCCAAGTCAGTCAGCAGGTAGGTGAGCCAGCGTAACTCCTGTGCAGCCATGGCCGTGGCGTAGATCTCAGCCTCACAACTAGAGCTGAGAACAGAAGAAGAACGGGTGGACCGCCACGAGACAGAACCAGAGCCAAGGCTGAAGGTGTAACCCTGTGATGACCGCTGCGTAGCCAGGTCGTCCACCCAAGAAGCGTCCGAGTGGCCAGTGAGGACAACTCTGTCGTGTCCTCCAAGCACCAGCCCCATGCCTGATGTACTGCACAAGTAGCGCAGCACCCTCTTAGCAGCCTCCCAGTGCTCTCGCCTGTGTCTCCCAGGCGCAACGTAACGAGCAAGGATGCTAAGAGGGTACGCGAGGTCAGGTCGCGTGCAAGTCATCAGGTACATGAGGCAGCCCACAAGCTCTGGGTACGGGCCACTCGGCTCTACGGACTCGTCCGGAGGTGGAGCTGAGAGCGAGTGGCTGGTAGCCAGAGGTGTGGCCTGTGGTGAGGAGAACTGGAAGCCGAAGCGCTGAAGGACCTGCTGCACCATGTGTGACTGAGTCAGGGTGATGGTGCGGCGAGCTCTGTCCCGGGTGATCTGCAAGCCAAGGTAGCTACGCAGCTCACCCAGGTCAGTGCAGGTGTGTCTCTTCTGCAGCTCCGACTTCACACGAGCGAGTGCCTTAGTGTCAGCAGTAGCAAAGACCAAGTCGTCGACGTACACGAGAATGTAGAACGGCGGCAGCGACGTGTCTGTGCGCAGAAACAGCGACGGGTCAGCAGTAGACGGCGCGAACCCAAGAGCCGCAAGTGTAGTCCTCAGTGTGTCGTGCCACTCGCGTGGCGCCTGGCGGAGACCGTAGACTGGCCGGCGGAGGCTCCACTGGGTACCAGGAGGAAACGACCCAGTAAAGCCAGGTGGGCGGCGCAGCCAGATCTCCTCGTGCAGGCTGCCCTGCAGGAACGCTGTGCTGAAGTCAAGAGAGTGAAGCTCGTAGTCACGCTGAGCAGCAACGTGCAGCAGAACCCGAAGAGTGGTCATCTTCGGGGTGGGGGAGAAGGTCTGGAAGAAGTCGACCCCCTGACGCTGACTGAAGCCTCTAGCAACGTAACGAGCCTTGAAGACAGGCGGAGAACCTGGCGGCCGCTTCACCCTGAAAATCCACATGCCATCGACAATGTTCGCCCCAGGAGGGGGAACCTCGTCGACGTAGGTGCCTGTGGACTTCCAGGATGCCATCTCTGCGTCCATGGCTGTCTGCCACTGAGAGGAGTAGGGACCCGAGATCGCCTCTGCGTAAGTGCGCGGAGTGGGGATGTCTAGTGCATCCGGGTCTCCCTCAGGGGCAAGCAACCAGGCCACGAGATGAGGTACAGCAGCCGCGAGAGAGTCAAAGTCCTCCTGCCTGTCCTCAAGGACGTCCGTGCCAAGAGCACACTCACCCCCGACGGACGGAGGACAGACAGACTCAGACTCAGACTCAGCAACAAGGCTAGCAGCGTAGTCTAGACGACAGGCAGCAGCAAAGTCAACCAACTCAGCGACCAGAGCAGACGCAGCCGAGGACTCAAAGGTAGGGTCAGTGACAACAGTAGCAAGGAGACGCGTGACAGTAGGGTGCTCAGCACGATACCGGTCAGACTCAGGGTCCGGAACGTCAGGCAAAGAGGAAGCAGGAGGAGACGGCAGAGGGACACGCTGAGGAGCAGTAGAGGGACGCAGAGTCATGTAGTGAGTGCCTGGGACAGGAGGAGGACGCTCACGACGGACACGACTACCAGTGCGAGCACGACGAACAGGCGACGCAGGACGAGACTCAGGCTCACGACGCTCTGTAAGACCTCCTGTGGGACCAGTGTAAGGAGAGGGAGCAGGGAGAGGCGAGGCAGGCGGTAACTGTGACTGCGGCTGGACAGGCGGAGGACACTCTACGGAGGGAGGAGGACAAGGAGGAGGAGCCTGCCCAAGAACCTGCTGAAGGAGCGGTACGAAGTACGGCCGCGGCCGCGCAGCGTCTCCAGAAGCAGAAGAGACTCCAGCGTCCGGGTCCCCAGCACCAGCAGCAGCGCCACCGCTCGGGTCCTCAGCTCCAGCAGCAGCTCCACCAGGTGGGTCCGCAGCACCAGCAGCAGCAGCACCCCCAGGGTCGGCAGCTACAACTCCGCTAGCACCGCCAGCGCCAGAGTCCCCAGCTCCAGCAGCTCCAGTCGTAGTGCGCCCAGAACAACCAGTCCCGGTAGCTCCAGTACCCCCAGCTCCAGCCGAGCCACGAGGACGGCGAAAGCGCCGGACGTACCAGTCACGAAGCTGCTGTGGTGTGAGAGACTGCTCAGCACCCCGAACCGGAGCACCCCCAGACGCAGCAACCCGAGGCTCCGTAGGCTCAGTAGCAGTACCCCCAGGCTCAGTACCCGCAGGCGCAGCACCCCCAGACTCAGCACCCCCAGACTCCGCACACGCCGGCTCAGGACCCCCAGTCGCAGCACCCCCAGGCTCAGCACCCCCAGGCGCCGAACTCTCAGGCACAGTACCCTCAGCTCCAGCACCCGTAGTCCCAGCACCCCCAGGCCCAGCACCCGCAGGCTCAGCACTCCCAGCAGCACCACCTGCAGCAGCACCTGAGTCACCTGTGACCTCGACAGGCTCAGCGACGGGAGGAGGGTCTACCTGAGAGACACCTGAAGGAGCAGGACCCTGAGGGGGAAGGGGGTCTACCGGAGGGGGACCAGGAGCAAGGAACAGCGGCGGGGGAGGGAGGGGGGCAGTGCGGTAGGGGAAGAGACGGTAAAAAGGGACCGACTCGTCAAAGGTGACGTCCTGAGAGGCGAAGACCCGGCGCGAGGTGGGGTGGTAAAACTGCCAGCCCGGCGCGTCAGGGACAAAGCCAAGGAAGACACAGGGAAGCGTGCGGGAGGAGAGCTTGTCCGCGGACGTATCGCGGACAAGGGCACGAGCACCCCACACCCGGAAGCGCGACGCATCGCCAACCTCCCCCGTCCAACGCAGTGTGGGCGAGGTCTCCGGCAAGGAGACACGGGGCCAGAGGTTGAGCTGATGCGCGGCGTACCGGACAGCAAACGGCCACAGAAAATGGGGAGCCGCCGCGTGGACCAAGGAGGTACGAGCGACCTCCATGACCAGGCCAATGCGGCGCTCAGCAACCCCATTCTGCTGTGGGGAGTCCGGAAGCGTGAAGGTCTGCTCGATGCCCTCCGCCTGACAGAAGGTCCTCAAGAGGTCGGAGGAAAACTCACCACCTCTGTCAGAGTGCAGACGCAGGACAGGAAGATCCGTCCGAAAACGGCGGCGGAGCTGGAGACGAACTGTGCGGATCCAAGGGATCAGAACAGCAGGGACCTCACCCTTGGTGCGCAAGGGGAAGACCGTGGTGTAACGCGAGTAGTCGTCGACAACCAGCAAAAAGTACCGCTCACCGCCCTGGCCACGAACGCGGGCTGGGCCCCACACGTCCAGGTGGAGGGTCTGCAGAGGAGCCTCTGTCGGGGGGAACGAGGAGGAGTGAGGAGCGGCGCGCTGCCGCCCCTCGACGCAAGGAAGGCAAGGCGGCGCAGGCGAGGCAGGGATGGTAGGGAGGGACCTGGGAAGACCAGACACAAGGTGGCGACGGTGCATGCCACGGAGGCGTGGCAAGGAGGGGTGACCCAGGCGGTGGTGCCAGAGAAGAGTCTGGTGCGACAAGGAACGACACTCACAGGCGTGGGCTACCAGACCTGACGCGGACACCTGACCGACAGCAGCGACCTGAGGAGACGCAGTGGTCAGTGTGTAGAGACTCGACCCCGGCCGACGAGTAAACGTAGCCAGGTGACGGCCGGTCCTGGAGCACGTGCAGATCGCCACACGCTGTCCTCCAGGGGTGAAGGTGTCAACCCACTGATCCTGGATGACAGCGTTGCTCACCAGGTTCGTCGAGAACGAGGGGAGGTGGAAACCCGTCAACGAGCCAGACGGAACCGCCGGACAAGGGAGCACAGTGGTGGACCGGGCAAGGACCGGGCCCCCAGAGGGGTCAGCCAAGGAGACTGGGACCGGTGCAGAAAGCGGTGTGAGCTCAGTACTGTCTCGAAAGAAGCAGCGGGAAGCACCTGAGTCAAGGGTGAAGGTGTGACAGGGCTCAGTCGGTGCAGTACCTGAGAGAGCAGTCTCTGTGGGTGCTGTACCTGAGAGAGCAGACTCGCAAGCAGCAGGGACAGTGCTGGAGGGAGCAGGTACAGGGGGCACCATACCAGAGAGAGCAGACTCACTAGTACCTAGGGCAGCGGGCTCTATACCTGGGTCAGGCGGCACACACAAGTAACAGTCTCCCTCGGCACTAACAGTCAATGCATACATGGCAGCAATAATAGCATCATAGTCAAGAGCAAAGATATCAACACCAGCCCTCATCAGCTCAGCCCAGCGAGGGCGCTCAACATCCTCGCCCATCTCCTCACGCCAAGCGTCGTCAAGGCGGAAGAAGCAGCGGTACGGGGTGTGAAACCTCCCACACGTCTGTCCCTTGCGATCACCTGTGCGAATGACATAGGAACAGCGGCCACTGCCCCCCGACGTCCCACGCTGAGCAAGCCACTCACGAAGCTGCTGGGTCGACTGGGGACGCTGCTGCTGCTGGGAGCTCTGGCCCGAGCCTGTGCCTCCACTCCGACCTCCACCGCCGCCACTACCTCCGCTCCGACCGCCACCACCGCCACCGCCACCGCCACCGCCACCGCCACTACCGCCACCGCCGCCACTGCCGCCGCTGCCACCACCGCCACTGCTCCCGCCGCCGCCCCCGCCTCCGCCGCCGGCCCCACTCCCACCGGCACTCCCGCCACCGCTCCCTCCAGCACCGCCTCCCCCCCCACCTCCCCCACCCCCTCCCCCCCCAGCGCCACCCCCGCCACCCTTGCCCCCCTTGCCCTTGCCGGTGCGGCGCCTCCCACCAGGAGCAGAAGCAGCGCCAGCAGTCTCAGCACCAAGGAAGTCAACAGCAGCAGCAGTAGCATAGGAGGGAGCGAGGGGAGAGGGAGAGCATCCCTCAAAGATGGGGGTGCGAGGAGCGCCGCGAGCAGCACCTACAGCTACAATGCTCTTCTCGGCTGCTAGCAGCTTCTCCTCTAGGAGGGGGACAGTGAGCTCAGTGGGACAGCGAGCAAGGAAATAGTCGCGCACTGAGCCGAGGGTGTCAGGGAGACGGGCAACGATGAAGTGGAGTGCCCAGTACAGGGGAGGGGGGTTCTTAGCGCAGAACTCGGTGGGAAGGGCGGCACGCAGGCGAGCATCACTAGTGCGAAGGTGGGTGATAAGATCGGCGACTGTAGCAAAGGCGGACAGGTCAGGGAACAGGTAAGGCAGCATGAGACGGCTAAGCTCGGCTGTGGCAGGTGAGGAGTAGCGAGCAACGACAGCGTCATATAGGGCTTTAGCGGTTTTGCAGTCGCCAAAGTGCTCTAGCTCAGGTAACGGCAGGTGACTGCGAATAGCCAGGCGAGCTGCAGCGTCACGAGTCTGCCACTGTGAACGTACACTAAGCTCGGCTGTGGCAGCAGGAGCAGCGGCAGCACCAGACGCGTAGTCATAGAGGGAGATGTGGTCCGTGCTATTGCTCATAAGATACAACTGCAGGTCGTCGAGCCAGGAAGTGAACTGCACGGGACGGCCCTCAGCATCGAAGGAAAGAACGCGAATAGAGGCCATAGCTCAGGCGTGAGGGCACAGCAGAGCAGCAGCAGCAGCAGGCGAGGCGGGCAGCGCTGCAGGCGGGAAGTGCGGCGGGCGGGCTGCGAAGCGGGCAGCGGGGCGGGCGGGCGACGCGGCGAGCGGGCAGCGCGGCGGGCGGCTGCGAAGCGGGCAGCGGGCGGGCGGGCGACGCTGCAAGCGGGCAGCGGGCGGGCGGGCGACGCTGCAAGCGGGCAGCGAGGCGGGCGGGCGACGCTGCAAGCGGGCAGCGGGCGGGCGGGCGACGCTGCGAGCGGGCAGCGAGCGAGCGGGCGACGCTGCGAAGCGGGCAGCGGGGCGAGCGGGCGACACTGCGAGCGGGCAGCAAGCGGGCGGGCGACGCTGCGAAGGAGGTAGCGGGCGGGCGGGCGGGCGGCGCTGCGAGCGGGCAGCGAAGCGGGCGGGCCGCGAAGCGGGCAGCGAGCGGGCGGGCGGGCTGCGAAGCGGGCAGCGGGGCGAGCGGGCTGCGAAGCGGGCAGCGGGGCGAGCGGGCTGCGAGCAGGCAGCGCGGCGGGCGAGGGGCGAGCGGGCAGCGTGGCGGACGGGCGACGCTGCGAGCGGGCGGCTCGGCGGGCGGGCGACGCTAAGAGGGGCGCGCGAGGGCGCTAGCGAGGGGCGCGCGAGGGCGCTAGCAAGGGGCGCGCGAGGGCGCTAATGAGGGGCGCGCGAGGGCGCTAACGAGGGGCGCGCGAGGGCGCTAACGAGGGGCGCGCGAGGGCGCTAACGAGGCTAGGGCACGGGGTAGCGTGGTAACCGCATGCGAGCGGTGGTGGGCCCTAAAAAAAACGGTCGGTAGGTCCTAGGGACCTCCTGCTCTGAATACCATGTCAGAATGACTAGGCAAGAATGAATGAACTAGCAGAAGTTTGGGTACAAATATGAAACCCTAGTTGGGGTTGTACCCCATATTGGCTACCCCACTACAGCCTACCAACATATAACACATTACAATTTAACAAGAAAAGTTCGGCGCCCGAGAAGATGGCTGTGCTTGCGGACAAGTTCTTAGGAAGCGCATGGATCCCTATAGGGGTATGCATCGAACAACCGAATGTGGTTGCATATTCGAATGGCTCATGTTCAAATACACCTACGAGAACGTTGCTGGTAATGTAGCTGTGTTGTTGCTGATATCGGGACATCTAGTAACGAGAACGTTTTTTTTTTTTTTTTTTTAATACTCATGTCCCGTCGTAACTTACCATCGGCCCGTAGTCTGTCTCGACGACGCCTGCGTATTGTGCTCAAAGGACGTGTCGGTCAGCGTGTGCACGTGGTACGGGTAGACATCTGAGACCTCGGCGACGCTGATTAACGAGAGGAGCGCGATGAGGGAGAAAATAGCGTCCGCGCGAGCCGCGATGCGACGGGGAAGTCGCGCGAACGGTGTAGTGCATCTAGTCGTTGCCATGTGTGCGACGCGGAACAGTACATGGCGATGGAAGCCTTATGGTGAGATATTGCGAAGAAAAGGTACTGTGAAGGAAATGTAGAGGTATTGCACCTGCCAAGGTGCAGCAGCTGAACAAAAGGATCAAGGCGATTCACCAGAAAGATACACAAGGATCTGGCAAAAATGAAGAGAAGCGAAGTACTTTAGCATAACAGAATCGATCGCATAGGAAGTGGGAAGGGAAAATCTATGGCGGCTGCCGCGTGCCCTGTGATTTTCCCGCTTCTTGGGGAAATTTTTATTGTTTTCACCAGCGGCGCACACGTACTCGTCATTGAGCGAATTCAATATACGTTGCAGTATAAATTTGAGTCGTGAGTTTGTGTAGCACCTACGTTAGTTCCTCAATTGCAAATTTTTTCCTGGTCCCCGCCGTACTCGCCCACCTTCCAGAATTCCAGCACATTCGCCCGGAAGAAACGTGTTGCTTGCATCAGATGAGTGCACGGCCCACCCCTTTCGCCGCCACGTCACGGCCGCCACGTGCCCTCCTCGGTTCAGGGGACCACCGTGGACGCAACCTTGTGAAGGTAGCCTTTAATTTTGCCGATGTAACCGTTCGTACCAGTAACCTGGATGGGCATTTCTCCCCAGTATGTGCTGAGTGAGCTTTGTTCGTTTTCGCAGAAGCCTGGAACTTCGCCCAAGCAGCACACTACGTTTCGCAAATTGCAAGAGTCTCCCACATATACAGCTCTCATGCTTTATTTCACGCATACCATGCTCCGCTTGCCTTACTTCTAGAACCACGACAGGATCAAGCAGGGTGTGTGATTCGCGAGATCAGATGTGCCGCGTGCCGTGCCTTCCGCACCGCACATCACGGATCGGCGTTCTCTCCGCTCTCATCTGCTGCGTGTTGCGTCGATTAAGGCAGTAGAATAAGCGATTAAAAGCTTCGGTACTACGAACGTACCGTGCCTGTGGCGCGGAACGAGCACACCTCTCCCGTGCTGCCTCGTCTCGCATACTTGCTCCACGCATCTGATCCCGCCTGTCTCTGAGCTGTCTCCTCTCTCACATGTACGACCTTTCTTGAATCAACGTTTCCCCGCCGTAGGATCTTTACCATCAAGGGTTCCTGAAAGTCCAGTTTCATCAGTCTGCGATCATGACCCCCACGGCTTCCACCTCCGCCAATACCGCCGCCTCCCCCGCCGCTTTAACGGCCCCCGCCACCACCGCCGCTGCGTCAGTCACGGATGATTCCAGACCGCTCGCCGCATCGACGACTGTTCATTCACGATCGTTCTCGGCAGCGGAGGCGACGCGACATGACGGCAGGCCTGGCGACGTCGCAGGCCGCTTGTGCGACGTCGCACGCGGCGACGAAATCGCCGGTGAACGGGCCGTGCCGATGCCAGTGCCCGAGTCTACCTGCGGAAGTAGCTCAAACGGTGCTGCCACGGCAGCTGACGTCAGCAGATCAGACCCTAACGGTTCATCGGTACAATTGCCGGCCGCGGCAAGCACGCCGGTTGTTTCGACCGGGAGCTCCATAGTGGCCTCTGAGATACAAGTGCAGCACGCAAGGGCTTTAAGAAACCCCAAGAGTAATCTAACTCTGGGGGAAAGAGCCGTGGCGGCGGGTTCTTCTGAGACGTCTCAAAATGCAAGGGGTGCACGGAAACCCGAGGGCGATTTGGGGTTGCGGGAAAAGGCTTTGGCGGCGGGTGCAGCGGCGGTGGTGTCGGCCGTTATTATGAACCCGCTGGACGTTGTTAAGGTACGATGTAGTGTAACGAGGATGGCTGGTATCGGAGCATTCAATAAAGAGGATGGCTGGCATCGGAGCATTCAATAACGAGGATGGCTGTGGTGTCTGCCGTTATCATGAACCCGCTGGACGTTGTCAAGGTACGGTGGTAGTGGAGTGATGCTGCTGCTTTTATCGGAGCATCTAATAACCAGAACGGTTTTGGGTTCTTCTTGTTGTGAAATCCTCATGTGTGTCGTCATCCTCATTCTCGTTACCTCCCTCTTCGCCACCCCCCTCGCTTCATTTCCCATTCACAACGCCCGCGCCAACCGCATTCCCCCCTTGCGCCACTCCCCCTCCCCCCCATCAGACGCGCCTTCAAGCGCAAACAGCATCCGCGGCCCCCCGCGCCCCCGCCCGCCCTTCGCCCCTCGCTTCCTCCTCCCCCGCTACAATCACATGTCGTGCGCTCTACCCCTCCTTCGCCGCTACAGTCACATCTGTAGCTCCATCAGGTTCAGCCACCGCCGCTGCCACAGCTTCTTCAGCAGCAGTTGCTGCTACAGCCTCTGCTGCTACAGCCGCTGCTGCTACAACCTCCGCTGCTTCAACCTCTGCCTGCTGCCGTCCTGCCAAGTTCTGCTCGCGCCACCCAGCCTTCCACCCGGCTGTAGCCGCTACAGCCGCGTCCACCCCCTCCCCCGCCGCCTTCTGCTCCCACCACCGCGCCCTCTTCCCCTCTGCCGTCTTCCCAGCTGTAGCCGCGCATCCCTTCCCGGCTGTAGCCGCTACAGGCGCGTCTGCCCCCGCTGCTGCGGCCGCCCTGCTGGCCCGGGGCGGGCAGCTGCACAGCCATGGGGATGTGCGACGGGCGGCGATGTCTGTCTGTTGTGACGCGGCAGGACTGTACGGGCATGGGCATGGGGGAGTGGCTGTAGGCAGTAGTAGCAACCACGGCAATGGATTCACACACGGGCATGGGTATGGACATGGGAACATGCATGCAAATGTAACCCATTTGCTGCAGAACCAGCACCAGCAGCCATATCAGCACCATCCCCACCACCACCACCTCCCCCATCAACACCACCATCCCTACCGCAACACATGGGACGTGTTTTCTCGGATAGTGCGAGAAGAAGGGGCTCTGCGCCTGTGGCGAGGCACGGGAGCGTCTCTCCTCATGGCTGTACCAACGGTTGGGATCTACCTTCCAGTGTACGACATCCTCAAGATCGAGCTCGCAGCGATGTCGATCAACGGCCGGGATCGCGCCGTGCCGGAGGCGTACGTGCCATTGATCGCAGGGTCGGTGGCTCGTGCGCTGGCGTGTGTCAGCTGCGCGCCTTTGGAGCTTGCAAGAACGCGCATGCAGGCACACAGACCAGTGGGGGCCGGAGTAGGGACAGCAGTGGGGGCAGTGGGGACGGTAGGGCCAGTAGCAGCAGCAGCAACAGCTGGGGCAGGAGCAGCAGGAGGGTTGGGTGGGGCAGGGGTAGTGGGTGGGGCGAGGCCAGGCACGCTAGCGACGCTGCGGACGATTCTGCAGCCGCATTCGGGCACTCAAGGCTTGCGCGCCCTGTGGACAGGTGTCGACGCGCAATTCGCCCGTGACGTGCCGTTCTCAGCCATCTGCTGGGGTCTATTGGAGCCCACCCGACGGTACCTGCTCAGTAGATCTGCTGACCGGTGGGAGCAGAAACAGCGGGATAGGCAGCAGTGGAATCAGGCTGGTTCTGGTACTGCCGGTGCTGGCGGTGAGGTGTTTTCGCCGTCGCTTGCCGAGGCTGCGGATGAGGCTCGGCAGCTGCCGCTGCTGCAGGTGGTGGGGGCGAATTTCGCAGCGGGGATGGTTGCGGGGAGTGTGGCAGCAGCAGCGACGCATCCTCTGGATGTGGCCAAGACTAGAAGGCAGATCCAGGTGTCGGGTTCTCAGCTGAGCACTGTTCAGACACTGCAGCATCTGTGGAGGTGAGAAGGGTTGTGGATGGGTTGAGGTAGGTTGGCTTGGGCTGTGTGCAATGTGGCAGCAGCAGCGACGCATCCTGTGGATGTGGCCAAGTCGAAGAGGCGGATCCAGGTGTCGGGTGCTCAGCTCAGCACGGCTCAGACGCTGCAGCATCTGTGGAGGTGAGTGGGGATGTGGTAGGGTTGAGCTATGCTTGGCTTGGGTTGCGTGCGGTGTGGGTGCGCTGGGGTGTGGCAGCAGCAGCGACGCACCCATTAGATGTGACAAAGACGAGGAGGCGGATCCAGGTGTCGGGTGCTCAGTTGAACACTGCCCAGACGCTGCAGCATCTGTGGAGGTCAGTAGGTTTGTGGACAGATTGGACTGGGTTGTGGTATGGGGAGATTGGGTTGGATTGTGTGCGTTGCACTGCATGCCACTAAGACGAGGAGGCAGATTCAGGTGTCGGGTGCTCAGTTGATCACTGCTCAGACGCTGCAGCACCTCTGCAGGTGAGTGGGGCTGCGGTGGGGTTGGGTTGCGTGGAGAGCAATAATGTGATCCTTTTTTTCTCTATGTGGGGTGGGAGCTGCACGGACTAACTGATGTGACCATGCTTCCTGTGTTTGTGTTGCCAATGCAGGGAGGGAGGAATGGGGGCGTTATTTGCCGGTGCCGGTCCTAGGGTGCTGAGAGCTGGCCCATCTTGTGGTATCGTGGTTACCTTCTACGAGGTGGTGAAGCACTTGCTCACTTGTTGACTAATGGTGCACCCCATTTTGCTGTTATATTGTTCTAGTGGCCAATATGGATGTTTTCTAAATTTCCATGGCATTCCTGTACGGTGGTCGTGTACAGATTTCATAAGTCAGGGTCGTATACATGTTTACTGTCGCTACTGTACATCATAAGTACCCTAACACTTTCCTCCCAAAAGTCGTGCCGTGCCTGCTTCGCCTCGGGCAGTCGCTGAAAACGATCGCGCAATGCGCTAAATCTTCCCGCCTCCAAAGTTTTCGGCCGACGCAGACAGATCTCACCGACCACAGAATAGACGGTTGGGAATACGTAATGACGGTCATTTTACGGCACTCAAATCTAATCCGACTGCACTGCACGCTCGGGATGGGTGGAACTTGGGAAGAGAAGGAAGGCAGCAAGGATAGTTTTTTTGGTGCAAGCAACTTCACCGAGCCGCATTCTTCCCTTTACGAACCGCATTCGCATTTCCAATATGCCAATGTTCCACCACCCCACAACACCCACCCAGCAGCATTTGTACAAATTCGCTCCCCTACTTTTGTCTCCCCATCACCTCCAACCTACCAAATCAATCCACAGACAGGCATTCGTTGCCTCCAGTTGCCCCTTGTCACTACTCTTTGATACGCTTACTCGTTACCGCAATCAGCTCGTTTATTTACTCGTAGTCCTCCTCCCTACTCGGTTCCGCCAAAACCCCGCGTTTTCGCCTTCAATCATGGCAACCCGAGCGTCGTGCGTCGTTGTTCTGCTGCTGGTGGCAGTCCTGGGCTTCTCTCTCCCAGCCTCGGCGGCTGTGAAACCGTACTGCCGCTTCTCAGGGAAGCTGGTGGTGAACAACCTCATGACTGAACTCATCAAGGCTGGGAATTATTCCACATTGGTCTCCGCGCTCAAAAAGACAGGTGAGAAAGAGCATCCGATGGCCCCAACACTTCGAAAATTCGGTGGCCACCTTTTTGCGCCTCGCCAAATCTCAATAGCTTGGAATGGACGCTGAGCCGGCGGCTGCAGATTTGATCTGACGGCTAGATCCGATTTGTCCGCTTGACAGCTTGCCCCGCACCTGCCACGCCCTCGCGCATTTTGCGCCTCGCCGATCTTTTTCAAGGATCTTATAAGACCCCAGTAGTAACTGCTACGAGGCGACGCCCTTCGCGCCGAACGATGCGTCGTTTGCTCCTCACTGCCATAACCCTCTCCTGTTTATCTCGCCCTTCTGCCCGATTTCTTTTCGTTCAGGTCTTTCCAAGGATCTTCAAGATCTCATTAACTGCTACGAGGCCACGTTTTTCGCGCCGAACGACGACGCGTTCGCGGCGCTCCCAGACGACGCGAAGAACGCGACCAGGGACGTCAACGTGCTGCGCGAGGTGCTGCTGCTGCACGTGGTGCAGAAGAAAATGCCTGCCGCCGCGCTCATCACCCTCCCTCAGGACAAGCAGGTGAGACATGGTAGCGGTTGCATGTGCGATTATAAACGAGGCTGAATGACGTAACCATTCTTCGCCAGCGTCGCGAGGTTCTGTGCCGGGGAATGAGCTGATCCATCCTTCACCCGAAGTCATCGTTACCACCGCACTGAATGCCTCGTAACCGTGCCCTGTTTCTCCTCACACCCTGCAGTTCAAGGCGGCATCCGACGGGTGCAAGGCTCGCCTGGTGAAGGTCACAGCTGCCGGCGCCGACCCAGTCCAGCTGCAGGCCCTGTACGGCCCGGATGAAGCCTCGATAGTGGCTCCTGACTTCATCTCGCTGCGAGTGATGCAAGTGCACGGGGTGGATACTGTGATTCTGCCCCAGATCATGAAGGCTGGCGATAAGGACTCCCTCAAGCCTACCGTGTGCTTCCCCTGGCGCGCGTAAGCCAGCCAGTCACTTTCTCTGGCGCGCGTAGGAGACGTGAAGTGACGGCTGTCTGGGCTGTGTGACGCGCAGTGATGCATCTCTGAATTGATGCGCCTCTGAACACCAGTGTAGCGGCCACGTAGGTAGGTCAAGGCCATATGGGGGAAACACTTCTGAGCCGACCCCTAAAGTCATCATTGGCTGACGACGGTAGGTGACAACTATCTTGCGGTGCAGATACACCAGGATGGGTGGAATTATCCTGCCAGTCTGACTGAGTGCGGGGCAGCATGGTCTTAATGCTGTTTGTGGAGGGATGCAGGCGGAAATATGGTAGCCGGGGTTGTACTAGGACATGCGCTTATGATGTTAGGTGAGATTAATTGCTTGTCTTTGTACTCCCCATTAATAATATACTTTGCGAGAATACACTCCAGTCTCAACCAAAAAGTGTTCCAATCTCCTTTTGAAATCACATTAATAGGGCCAAAGTCACGACAGGTTCCACCCTGTCAAATTATATGTTTAATGTTATGTAGGCTGTAGTGGGTTTAGCCTTAGGGGGTACAGAAGTTTGCTCGACACTTCTTTGTATCCCCCTCCTTGCCCTAATCTCCACACATACCTTCATATTATTTTCACATGGTATTAAGAGCTAGGACGTTCCTAGACTAGGACGAATTTTTTAGGGCCCACCGTTAAACCTTCCGTGTTCCTGCCCGAATCGCGTTCTCTACTTTTTTCTGCCCGAAATGCGCCCTTAGGTGCATCGATTTTCGCTGCCCCGCGGCCCTGCCCTGTCCTGTCGCGCGTAGCCCGCGAGCAGCCCGTACAGCCCCCGTCTGGCCTTCGCGCCACCCGTACAGCCCGCGCCACGCCCGCGCGCGGCCCGTATAGCCTACGTTAGGCCCGCGCGCGGCCCGTACAGTCAGCGCTAGGCGTTAGCGCAGCCCGTACAGGCCACGTCAGGCCCGCGAGCGGCCCGTACAGTCCGCGCTAGGCATTCGCGCAGCCCGTACAGGCCACGTCAGGCCCGCGCGCGGCCAGTACAGCCCACGCCAGGCCTGCACGCTGCACTGCGCCTGTGCTGCTGCTCTACCTTTGCTTCTACTTGCTGCAGTTTCGTCTACTTGCTGCCACTGCTGCTACTTGCTGCAGCTGCTCCTACTTTCTGCCGCTGCTGCTACTTGCTGCAGCTGCTTCTACTTGCTGCCACTGCTGCTACTTGCTGCAGCTGCTTCTACTTGCTGCCACTGCTGCTACTTGCTGCAGCTGCTTCTACTTGCTGCCACTGCTGCTACTTGCTGCAGCTGCTGCTACTTGCTTGTTGTAGGAGCAGCCGCCCCTGGAGCAGCCGCCCCTGCAGCAGCCGCCCCTGGACCTCTGCAGCCGCCCCTGGCCCCTGGAGCAGCCGCCCCTGCAGCAGCCGCCCCTGCCCCTGGAGCAGCCCGCACCTGCAGCAGCTGCCCCTGGCCCCTGGAGCAGCCGCCCCTGCAGCAGCCGCCCCTGGCCCCTGGAGCAGCCGCCCCTGCAGCAGCCACCCCTGCCCCCTGGAGCAGCCGCCCCTGCAGCAGCCGCCCCTGCAGCAGCCGCCCCTGGCCCCTGGAGCAGCCGCCCCTGCAGCAGCCGCCCCTGCCCCTGGAGCAGCCGCCCCTGCAGCAGCCGCCCCTGGACCTCTGTAGCCGCTTCTGGCCACTGGAGCAGCCGCCCCTGCAGCAGCCGCCCCTGGCCCCTGGAGCAGCCGCCCCTGCGGCAGGCACCCCTGGCCCCTGGAGCAGCCGCCCCTGGAGCAGCTGCCCCCCCCCCTGCAGCTGCCGCGGAGCCCTCGCCCTGCAGTGGTACTGGCCTTGCCGTTGCCGCCGTCGTACGCCTGCCCTTCTTGCCACTGGTGAGCACTGTCCTACCTGTACTAGTACTGCTACTGCTGCTCCTGCTGCTACTGCTGCTCGTGCTGCTCCTACTGCTACTGCGCTTTCTACTGCTACTGCTGCTCCTGGCGTGGCCAGATGCAGCTCCAGCGCCGTCCGCGTGAGTCCCTCACGCCCCAACAGCTTCGTGAGTGGTACGCTCGTTGGGGTTGTCGGGGTGGCCGTAGTGGGAGTCGTCCTGGAGTGAGTAGTTCCGGAGCTTCTTGTAGTGGCCAGGTGCAGCTGCGGCGTCGTGTGCGCGCGGTCCCGTCGCCCCCGCAGCTTCATGAGTGGTACGCTCAGCGTGGAGGGTCACGGGGTTCTGCTCGCTGCCCGTACGTCATTCGCACTGGTGCTAGGACTGACCAGCCTTGCGGGACGTTTGGTCACACAGAGTCCCGCTGCTTCGCCCGTCTGAGCGACGCCTGGCGTACAGAGTTTGGCGACGCGGCTGAGCTCCCCGACTGGGTGGAGCTGCTACGGCAGAGGGTAGATATCTATGATGCTATCCTTACTGCCATGTATGCATTGTCTACTAGTGATGCCGGTGACTGTTCCCTGAGTGTTCCGCCCGACCCGGGCGGTGCAGCTGCTGCTCTAGGTGCTAGTGAGTCTGCTGCTCCAGGTGCTAGTGAGTCTGCTGCTCCAGGTGCTGGTGAGTCTGCTCTCTCAGGTACCACGTCTGCTCCGGCGTCGCACACTTTCACCCTTGACTCGGGTGCTTCCCGCTCCTTCTCACGCCGCTCAGTCGGCCGGTTGCGGTCTCCCTGGCAGACCCCTCTGGGGGTCCTGTTCTTGCCCACTACTCCACTGTACTACTGTGTCCAGCGGTCCCGTCTGGCTCCCTGTCGGGTCTTTACCTCCCCTCGTTCTCTACGAACTTGGTGGCGGGTGCTGACCTACAGGATGGGGGGGTTGACCAGTTCACCCCTGCGCGTCAGCGAGTGACCCACTGCACGTGTGCGGACACGGGCCGACACTTGGCCACGTTTACCCGTCGGCCGGGGTCGAGCCTGTACACCCTGACTACCGAGTCTCCTCCGGTTGCTGTGCCTGGTCAGGTAGCTGCGTCGGGTCAGGTGTTTGCTGCAGCGTCTCGGTCTGGTCCTGAGTCTGCCCCCTGCTCGTGTCGCCTCCTGTCCCATGAGACTCTTCTCTGGCACCACCGTCTTGGTCACCCCTCCCTGCCTCGTCTCCGAGGCATGGACCCTCGTGTCCTGGTCTCTGGTCTCCCCCGGTCTCTCCCTCCCCTCCCTCCGGGGCCTGCCCCTACCTGCGTTCCCTGCGTCGAGGGGCGGCAGCGCGCCGCTCCTCACTCCTCCGAGTTTCCGCCGACAGAGGCTCCGCTGCAGACTCTTCACATGGACGTGTGGGGCCCAGCCCGCGTCCGTGGACAGGGTCACGAGCGCTACTTCCTGCTGGTGGTTGACGACTACTCGCGTTACACCACAGTCTTCCCCTTGCGCCGCAAGGATGAGGTCACTGAGGTGTTGATCGACTGGATCCGCGCTGCTCGTCTCCAGCTCAGGAAGAGTTTCGGCTCGGACTTTCCTGTTCTGCGTCTGCACTCTGACAGAGGTGGAGAGTTTTCCTCCGGCCCTCTGCGAGCCTTCTGACGTGCGAGGGGCATCCGCTAGACGTTCACGCTTCCGGCCTCTCCACAGCAAAATGGGATTGCTGAGCGCCGCATTGGCATGGTCATGGATGTCGCTCGCACGTCCATGATCCATGCGGCTGCTCCCCATTTTCTGTGGTCGTTTGCGGTTCAGTACGCGGCGCGTCAGATCAACCTTCAGCCCCGGGTCTCCATGCCGGACACCTCCCCCACTCTGAGGTGGACGGGGCAGGTTGGCGATGCGTCTGCGTTTCGTGTCTGGGGATCTCGGGCTTTTGTCCGAGACTTGTCTACGGACAAGCTGTCCTCCCGTGCTGTTCCCTGCGTCTTCCTTGGCTTCCCCCCTGACGCGCCTGGTTGGCAGTTTTACCACCCCACCTCGCGCCGTGTTCTGTCCTCCCAGGACGTCACGTTTGACGAGTCGGTTCCGTACTACCGTCTCTTCCCCTACCGCGCTGCCCCCCTTCCCCCCCCGCCGCTCTTCCTTACGCCAGGTCCCCCCCCGGTAGACCCCCTCCCCCCTCAGGGTCCTGCTCCTTCAGGTGTGTCTCAGGTAGACCCCCCCCCCTTGGCTGAGCCTTTGGAGGTCACTTCCGACACCTCTGGCCCACCTGAGGGGGGTGACGCTGCTGCTGACGCCCCGGCGGCCTACCGCCGCGCACCACGCTTGGAGACCCCTCCGGGGTTCCCTCCGCGACCTTCTTCGCCGCCTCTGCAGCCGGTTGCTGTTGATTCTGGTGCTGTTGGGGGTAGTGCTCCTGGAGGTGCTGCATCTGGGGGTGCGGAGTCTGGGGATGCTGAGCCTACGCATGGGGTGGCTGGGGATCCTGCGCCTGGGGGTGCTGTGTCTGGGGGTACTGAGCCTGTGTGCAAGTGTGGAGTCTGGGGGTGCTGAGTCTGGAGGTGAGACGCTTGAGGGTACTGGGACTGCTGGTGCGCGGCCTACTTGGAGTGGCCGCCTTCGTCCGCGTGTGCCTCTCACCACTCAGCAGCTGCACGACTGGTACGGTCGCCGTCAGCGTCGCGCTGCTGGAGCCCGGGGCTCTACTGCTGGAGGTACTGGAGCTACTGGGGC